TTTCTGTCAATCGTTTCAGCTCTAGTTTTGACCCTGCAAAAGGAATTATGTAACTACATCTGAGTGATCAACAGGGTTTTTCAAACTCACAATTATCAAAAGTGCTAACTCTCACTTACAGTGCTCAGAACAAACCCAAACGGGAACAGAGCAAAATCTGGTCAAGTTCTTTTTTAAAGTGAAGTGTCATCATGTTAGACCAGATTATTACTGTTATAATCTGGTGTCTGCACAATTATCAAAAATTAAAATGTCAAATTTAGTGTCAGAGGACATTATTGCAAGCAATCAATTTAGTTATTGAACTGGGAGGGATTAGTCTGTCTGACTCTGTAGCAACTTCACTAGGTATTGTAACATCTAATGCAATCCAATTCAACATCTTGAAGAGATGAGTTATATTCAGTGTGAAAACCCTATATACTTCTGTGGGTATTTGACATTTCTGACTAAAAGATGGCTGTTGTTTAGTCATGTTGACAGACTGTGGGCGAGCTGCTCTGAGGTACCATTTCCTCTAACAGCAGCCTTTCTAAACTGCATAGGTTTTTGTTTCTTCTACATGGAGTGGGTTGACTTTTTCCAAACAAACAACTCTTTCAATTTAATAGATTTATTCTGTGTTGTTTTGTCTCTTTCCCGGATCATTCAGGTTATTCGCATCAGGTCTTCAAACCGACAGCAACGAAGGTGGTGAAGCTGACTGCCTGACCTGTTTGGAGACTTCAAAGAGATCATGTAAATACACAGAAAAGTCTTCTAAATCAGCACCTGGAACTGATTATATTTCTTATTTATTGTATTTTTTTTTCACATAGATTTATGTTGGGGGGGGTTTGTGGTGGCCTCAATTTGGAAAAATTCAAAGTGACACAAGAGGATGTAAACCTTGTATAGAGGAACAAACCACAATCACACACACATGTATTTGTAAATGGAATCTATTGCAGTATATAATCGTTGTGAAAACTGTAAAGTATCTTTTACCAACATTCATCAAGTTCATTACTTAAATCCAAAATCTAAACAATCCACGGGAATATGTAAAATAATATATTTGCTTTGAGCTTCCTCATGAAAACTCAAATGAGTCGTTGAGCTTGTGGTTTCACCCACTGCATGTTACACTTTTAGTTCCTGTCCTAAATTAAGCGCAAAAAAAGAATGACATTATTCTGAAACAGTGACATTACAACAATAAACAAATTAAATCTTGTCTTCCTGTTTTAGAAGTAAAGTGAAGTGAAGTGAAAGTGCAGCTTGGCATGCTGGATTATGTGTTTGTGCTCTCCTGTCTGTGTTGACCTTCACTGTTAGGGGATGTGAAGAAATCCAGCAGCTTTTATTCTGCAGACACCTGGTAAAAACTATCACAGAGGAGCGATCATCCACCACTGAGTTCTCCTCCTGGTTTACAAAGTCACACTAAAGCAGGAAACACATTACATGGATCACTGCCTTTAGTAAATATTGATTAGAGCTCATCCAGGAGGCGAGGTGCCTCACTGAGAGCAGCTCAGCAGGTACACAGTGTGGACAATAATGTGCACAGATCACCACCTACTGGCAAATCCTCAGACAACACCACAACAGTCAGAGGAGATAAAAATCAATCAACTAAATCAAGACTTATTTTAGTGCATGTTAGAAGATCTGTGGGATTTGGTCTTGGAAAATGATGGAGTCACAAGAATAAGTATAAACTTTTTCAATGTTTAAAATAAAAATATTACTATAAATATAATAACTTAAAAGAAGTTCACAAAAGTTATTAATGCATAATTTAATTTAATTAATCAATTTATATTAACCTTTTTAAACATTGAAAACGTTTGTACTTATTCCTTTGGCACACTAAAGGCTTCATGGAAGAAGACAATAGAGAAAAACAAGCTCCACCTCTGAAGTGAAAATAAAGTTCAGTAAACTTTTTTCACATCAGACATTTTGAGCTGTCAAACAGGTGTAACTAATCAACTAATAACTGCGTACTGATTGCACACACACACACACACACACACACACACACACACACACACACACAGAGTTTTGTTATCTCAGTCAGTGGCAGCACAGCATTCACCCACTCTTCCTGCAGATAACTACAAGTTCAGCAAGTTCTCAAACGCTTCATCTTTTGCTTCTTGAGGTAGTTCATGGTGGATCATGAGCTTTACTTTGGATCAGGACACTTACGTTCAGAATTTGCTGATATTTAGTGGAATCCATCTTTCTCTATCTGCACAATGTTTCCTTTGATATCGGCTGCCACAACCCCAAAGCAGAATATTTCCGGCCCCAGGGTGGTGGCAAAGTAGAGCACTCAAATTATGGAAGACATAACAGAGTAACCACAATTACCCTGTTTACTGCAGGGGATGTATTTATTTGCCTTCACTACAAAAATCAACATAGTACATAATTTGGTGTAGCCCCTTTCTAGACCAGATATCACAAACTGTCACAATAAAATACAAGAAGAATGACAAAAAATGTAAAATATTAAATTTGTCCACAGAAAGGGAGAGAGTTGCAAAGTTAAGGAGCCACGACTTCAAAGTCACAGTCTTGTTTTTGAGCCCATGAGAAAGGAACAACCAACAAACCCTGGGCCTCAAAGACAAACTGGACACAGTACAGCCCAATAACGTTTCTGAAGAGCTCACCAACACAACTCTGAATCCTTCCAGGAACATTAGCAAAATGAGAACATCCAGACATCTTTTACATTACATTGTCAAGATGCGAGGATTATTTTGAAGATTCAAAATAATCTATATAAATGTAGCACCCCTACACTCTATAAGGTGTTCAAGTGGCTTTACTCACATTAGGCTGGAGTGATGAAGTGTTTGGGTTCAATTTCTTCTGCTACCACGAAGGTTTACCTGTTTTGAGTGAACTGATTAATGCTCTACTAATGATTACAGAACCTGTCAATCTTAGCAGTATATATATATATATTCACTTTGGTTTGTCTATATTTTAAATGACTGATCCCAAACAACTCGTTAAAATTGAAAGGAACAGATGTTTACTGTCAGTATTTTTAGTATATAAACAATATTAACTCATACAATTGAAACAAATCAAAACCCATAGTAAGACTAATTAGACCACTTTAAAATAACAACCAATAACTTACAAAATAATATTAAACCAAAACTGACATATATACCAAGATATCTAAACACAAAATGTCTTGTCTGTGGCAATTTACTTATTCCTCCATGACACATTAACATCAGATACTTAATAAAACTGTAGTGGGCCCACACACACTTACACACACCAAACACAAAACGTTGCAGGCCCGTGTGATCCTCATCAGGGCAACACACAGAAAGTTCAACTCACAGTTTTGGCGGCAGTCCTTGAGGAACAGGTCCAGCTCCGATGAGAGAAGCTCGATGGCAGTGGTGATCCCTCCTCGGGATGAACACCACCCGCTTTTTCCGATCAATAGTGACGTCCTCTGTGCTTGTAGACTGTAGTTGCTCAGCCACACTCAAAGTTTATTGTCCGATCAGCAATGGTGTCCTCGGACCTTACAACTAGTAAACTTTAGGTGCTATACACCGACACACTACGAGAGTCCTGCCCGGTTAGCAATGGCGTCCTCTGGTCCAGCGGCACGCCGCCTTCAGCTTAGCACAGACACACTCGTACAACGTGTTACTCGAACCGTGATTAAGCAAAATCACAGCTGTCTACTGTTTTTCTTCTGTTTACAAACACTTTATCCAGCTGTTTTTAGCTAGCGATTTGTCAGTATTTCTACCCTCCTGTCTTCTCTCTGTAGTTCCGGGTTTTGTTTTCACCCCGCCCTCTTCCACACCTCTGACCAATTACCACAGGTGACACAGACTGATACCTGCGAAAACCAATCAGAGTAACTGTAACTAAAGACACAGAATGTTTTTTTAGTTTACCAAAGTTTGCTGCCCATATTGTTTAGAACTGTTAATTTAACTACTTGTTTAACTATTTACATCATATTTTGCTTATGATTACTTTATCTTAAGTTAGCAATTTTCCCTTTTATTAAAACTAGATTATTCTCAGTTTAATTGCTTTACAGAATTATTGTCATCTAACTTTATTAGGAACTGACATGTTTTAATCCCTTACTTTTACACCGGGGCTACATTAAAAAGGGAAATGTAACTGCAACAATGCAACACTATAATGGAATATAACTTCACATGTGCTAAATCTGACTCAGCATGCAATAATCCTGTAGCACTGTACTATATTTTGTGGGTCACTACTTTCCCACAAAATGTCTTAATACCTTCCTGGAAAGGAGCTCACATGTACAGAAACTGTTAGCATAATTGTTGAGGCATTTCTTGGAAATGAGTCTTAACCAGTTGATGGTCTTCTCATGTTAACTGTTTGGTAAAGAACTTTTTTAACTTGTCTTATCATTAAAACGTATGTTACCATGCTAACTTTAGCACTTAGCTTTAATGCATAGCTGGAGCTACGGTGGAGCTGTACATTACCATTAGTAATTTTAAAAGTTTAAATTTTACATTATGGTTATGTCACACAATATGTTTTATTTCTTGCATTTTACATATTTTTCTTGTCCATTAACCGAGATGTGTAGGCATAATTTAAAAAATGTCTTATTCAACTTCACTGGAGAAAAAAGTTAGGCAATGCAGATTGTGAAAAGAGCACTTTAACTGTAAGGGGACATCACTTTTCAGTGGGAGAACATAACAAGAGAAACAGTGTGATCAGTTGAAAAACAATGTAGTTGCATTAATTTATTAATAAACTGTCCTTTTTTATTTTATTTCATTTTTCTTGGTGGACCCAATAAGAGTTAAGCTAGGCTAATGTAGCACCACTGAAGGGTGCAAAAAAGTTTGGAGAATCACTGGCCAGATAAACAGTGCTTTTGGTCAATGGTCAGTTCAGCAGTAGTGAGTGTGTGAGCTGTACTTTTCCACCTCCCTGCCTCTAAAGATGCTTCACTCCTCTTGTCAAGGAGAGTGAGTCCTGCTGGTGGGAAACCTGACAGAAAGCTTAACTATTTGACACCAACATACGAGGAGTTAACGTGTACCAAAGCGTGTAGTTAATCTTCTCTACACTCAGCCAGAGGCTTCAAAGTGCTGCCCAGCAGGCTCCTCTCAGCCAGTCCGCAGCTCCTTCTCCTCAGACGGAGCAAAACTTTTCTCCGGAGATGAAAATGTCAGTTGTGTCCAAGAAGCTGTGGTCCGTCCACAAACAGCTGGTCCTCCTGCTCACCCCGCTGCTGTTCCTGCCTTTACTTTTTACTCTGCCGGAAAAGGTGAGTGGTTTTACACTGTGTGAGTTCACGAGTTCATGTGTGCATCTTAACGTTTCTAGCATTTTCCATGAATGATGAACGAGTCAGGTTAATTCACACAGGCCTAAAACACCTCTGTCTTATCTGATATGGACATGGATAAAATCACAGGCAGGAGGTTTAATGTCTAAAATCAGTTTGTTCATTCATGACCCTATTTTTCATACAGACGCCATTAATTTGCATTAATTGATAGTTTTCGAAAGACTGACCAGAAAAAATGCCCATTGCTTGATTACAGGACTTGACGAAAACCCTCAATCAGAGCTGACGCTATCAGTCGATTAGTTGATAAATTCTTAATCTATAGAATAATAAAATGCAACTATTGAAATTATACATTAAGCAGTTTAGTCATTTTTTAAGCCCAAATAGTGAAAAAAAATTGCCAAATATTCTCTGGTTCCAGCTGCTCAAAGAGGATTTGCTGCTAATCTTTGACTTATAACACTGTAAACTGAATATCTTTTAGTTTTGGACTTTTGATCGAACAAAAAAGGACATTTGAAAATGTCACCATGGGCTCTGGGAAGTTGTGATTGATATATTTTCAACATTTTTGACATTTCATCAGCCAAAAAATGAATCAATTAATTTAATAAATATTCAGCAGATGAGCAGTTAATGTAAATAAGTGTTAGTTGCAGCCCTAGTAAAGACTCAATAAATCTAAAAGGTTTATATTATTTATTATGTTTATATTGGTTTGTCAACATTTAGTATGCATTTAATTTTTCTTATTTATTTTCTACAAATGAACACATGCACAATGCTTTCTGTCTTTCTCATTCTGACACACACACACACAGTAATTTTATTTTCTGAAGGGCAATGCTGTGTCATTGATGCCCCCAACAACATGTAGTCCATCATCTGTGAAACACAACCCTGCAGCTCATTTGATTGCTTCCTTTTTACCTGTGAAATCTCTTTATTGTTTTGTTAGTTGACTGAACATTAACCACCACATGTTGCTTATCTTTTAGGAGGGAAAATGTCTTTATGTGGTGGTGCTGATGGCTATGTTTTGGTGCACAGAGGCCCTTCCTCTGGCTGTCACGGCGATGCTTCCAGTCTGTCTCTTCCCAACACTGGGAATTCTTCCATCCAAAAAAGTCTGCCCCCAGTACTTCCTGGAAACCAATTTTCTCTTCCTCAGTGGCCTCGTGATGGCGTCTTCAATCGAGGAGTGGGGCCTGCATCGCAGAATAGCCCTGAAGGTCCTTAGTATTGTCGGGGTCAAACCAGCCTGGTGAGAAAGCTTTGCTGGAAGTATGTTTAAAGGATAAATCTGGTGATTCTATATTTATCTCATTGTCAGGAAAAGACCAAACCCAACAAACTTGATCCCACTAACAAGTATTGTTTGTAGGATCTGTGCCATAGTGCTCCTTTGTTGTCCAAAAACTATTAAAACCATACCACTACACTGGGCGACACTCACTGTGTATTAATCCACAGCTCAAAACAGTCCCCTACATCATCATGACTCCTGTTTGTCAGCTTTTTTAAAAGCAAATGTATAAATGTTTGAGAGGTATTCTAAAGATTTATGTGTTTCGTCATCGCAGACTCCGAGCTGAGAGCAATGACAGCAGGTTTGGGAAGTCTGAGCATCGACAAACAAACATTGTTGGTTTTGGTCTTTTGATGTGATTTATTGACAGTAAGAAAATAGACCCAACTCATTCCTTGAAGCAGGAGTTTGTGATGGTGTTTGGTGTTACTGATTTAACATTGGGGATCATATTGTTTCCCAGGCTCATACTGGGAATGATGATGACTTCATCCTTCCTGTCCATGTGGCTCAGCAACACGGCCACAACAGCCATGATGCTCCCTATTGCTAACGCCATCCTGGAGAGTCTGTTTGGAGACCTGGAAACCCTGAAACAAAAGTGCAAGTGCACAGAGGAACCAGAGGGCGAAATAATAAATGGTACGTTGTAGCTATGTTTTTACAAATTTACTAACCAATCGCCAACTAATTGTTAGTTAAAGCTGCTTTAATTAATATTTTTTCTATTAACAAAGGAGCATTTTAGCATCTTCCAACTCATTGTTTAGAGCTGGTAGAGACCAGAGACACCACAACCATGACTCCAAATGAATGATAATGTAGCTCTATGTTGACTGCATGTGTAAATAAACAACCTGTTTGTCATGTCATGTCAGTTGTCAAGTGATGATGTGCCAGTGATGTCATTACAGCTTGTACCACTGCCCCCAAAAAAAATCAATTCATGCAGGTTTAGTAATGTGGGTTTATGTGTCCACACTTTACAAAAAAGATGTACACAGACAGCAAATATTTTTGCATTGTGTTAACCTCGTCTGCATGAGCCTTTAATATGTAATCTAAGATGTGAACTTTGTGCAGTTTTTCCAATACAGTGAGTCCTCGGATACAAAGTTAGTCAATATTCAAGTGGTAATTGATTAATGATGCTTTATTGACTCAGTCATATATTAAATATACCAAAAAGCACTGGCTCCTAAAAGAGCTCAAACTCATAATATAACTCATTCATTCACTCTTATACATATGATGTAAAGCTGACACACAAACTCTTTGCTTCACTTCGTTTCAGGTCAGTCTACTTCAAAGCTGCATTCACTGCCCTCCGTGCCCTCAGAAAAACAAATACTATCAATAGATGGGTAAGAAGAACACAGAGATCATCCACAGTCCTTTCAATCCCAGATGGTGTTTGGATTCTGTGTTTGTTTTTTTTAAGGAAGTATGACCCTTAAGAAAATAAACTTTATCATGTAAAAATAATGATAAGTCTCTTATAATTTGAAAAGGACGGATGGGACAGAGCAGAGTGACACGAGGACAGCTGAGGAGATCCGATCAGAGTCGCAGTATCAGCTGAAGGTGTGGAAAGGATTCTTGATCTGTATTCCTTATGCGGCCAGTATCGGAGGGACCGCTACGCTCACCGGCACCGCACCCAACCTCATCATGATTGGACAGCTGAAAAGGTACAGCTTTTTATTTCGTGCAGCATTCAAACAGAGAAGTGGTCATTTTCCGGTTCTGTTTGACAACAACCCTTTTGCTTTAAAGCTACTTCCCAGACTGCGACCTCATCAACTTTGGCTCTTGGTTTGCATTCGCTTTCCCGCTCATGCTTCTCTTCCTGTTTTTGGGATGGATATGGATTGCGTTTCTCTATGGGGGATTGAACACACGGTAAAGTGATGTAATGTGTTTGTTTGTTGCAGATAAAGAATTTTCAATTGATACCTGTATTGATATCCTTATGATTTCTAGCTACGCACACTAATCACCCTACAAACACACATCAGTAAAGGCCAAATGTTATGACTATGGTTTTGATTTCATATGTGGGAAAACACTTTTAATTATCAGGCAGATTACTCTTTGTTTTTCTTTATAATATGCAGTAATTTCTCTCTTTTATGTTATGCAGATTGTGTTTCAAGAGGCATGACCGAAGAGCCCAGGCAGAGGCCAGAGCCAAGGCTGTAATAGATGAGGATTACAGGAAACTAGGGCCCATAAAGTGAGGACTCGTGTATGTCTTCAAATCTCATGCAATAGATGGTGAATGAGTACGTTTTTATCACTGAGCCTTTAACTGACTTTTCACTCTTACTCAATTTCAGTTTTGCAGAGGGAGCCATCTCTTTCTTTTTCATATTGTTTGCTGTTCTCCTGTTCACACGAGATCCCAAATTTGTCACTGGCTGGTCTGTGTTTTTTAAAAAAGGGTAAGAAAGGCACACTTGATGTAGTCTGTTATTCAGTACAATAGTTTTTTTATGTTAAAAGAAATTATTGCAGAATCTATATGAGATGATATGAGATGCTTGTTGATTATTCTTTTGGGTTAATTATGTCCTCCTCTTGTTGTCCTGCAGGTATGTCTCAGATGCAGTGACTGGTGTGATCATTGTGTCCATATTGTTCTTCTTCCCCTCACAGAAACCTTCTCTGAGCTGGTGGTTCGACCCTCAAGGTCAGTGACCTCTTAAACAATACACCTATACTTTTAATTTACAAGAAACAGAATTTATTCTAATTAACATTATAAACTATTATTTTAATGACTGATAGTATAAAATATTGGATATTATAAATAAGCAAGGTGCTGTAAAAAAAAAGGATGAAATAAGAGTGCCATCCATCTAAGAGCTAAAACAACTGGAAATGAGCAGTTGCATCAGGTCAAGTCAGAAATTAATATTAATTTTGATATATTTGTGAAAGATTCAAATACATTCAAGACTGTGACTCTGTTGCAGAATAGTGAAAATAAGCTGAGGAATGTTAATAATGTAGATTAGAGAGTCTGGGTAAATTTCCCGTCTGGAAGTGAGACTGTAGTTTCTCTGTTTCTGATTAGAATAAGCTCTCAAAGCTATGTTGTCACACTTTGGGGGTTTTGTTTTTGTGTGTGTGTGTGTGTGTGTGTGTGTGTGTGTGTGTGTGTGTGTGTGTGTGTGTGTGCGTGCGTGCGCGTGTGTGTGAGCATGCGCACAAACTGTATGCACGTGTCTTGTGTGTGTTGAAGACACGTGTGCGTGCGATTGTGTATATTATGTTCAGCTGGTCAAATAAACCACTGGATGCAAGCAGAAAAAGCAAATCATGGGGTTCATTTGTTCCTTTCAATGTAGGTCAAAATTTAGAATGGAGCAAGAATTGCGCCTCTTTTTCTTTAAAATGCTGATTTTTTAGTTGCCAAAGGCAGTTCAAAGTTTCAGCTCGTGTTTCTGTTATTGTTTTGAGTGTTTTGAAAATGAATCTAGGCACTGATAAATGATTTGTGATCTGTAAAATGCATCCGCTGTATTCACAGGAAGTAAACCAGACATTGTTTATACTGACGTGGTTTTGAACGACCACTTAAGAAGTTTACTTCAACTGCATTAATCTCACCTTGCGTCAATAACGCTGTAGAAAAAATGACGTCCTAAATATATCCAGGGAGAAGTCAATTGTGATAAACATCTACAAATGCTGAAACAGCACAGCCTCATACTGAATTATATTTTACTGCATATATAAAAGTCTTGATTTAAAACAATGTTTTTTTTATTGTTTTGTCCCATGTTGTTTTTCCTCAGGTTCAAACACTCCTTATGTTCCTCTCTTGTCATGGAAGAAAGCCCAGGACTCTGTTCCCTGGAATATCATTCTGTTGCTTGGAGGCGGCTTTGCAATGGCCAAAGGTTGTGAGGTAAAGATGTTGGTCCATGTCAAAACGGCCAAAAACTTGTCATGAAATACGACTGGATGAGTGTTCATCATGTTCTCTTATGTTTCTCAAATCAGTAGGTCGACATTTCTGGTTAACATAGCTTAGCATAAAGACTGCAGATAGAGGGAAACAACCAGCCAGGGGTAAAAAAAATCCACCTGCACCACTCTATCACATATCTCCTTTGTATATACTGAACAAAAACCAAAATGTAAAAACAACAAATTGTGGTTTTGGGGGGGTGTCTGTGCAGTGACTTCCTGGATAAGAATCTATAACCCCCTCACAGTTTCTTGTTTTTTGTTCAGATTAAACAAGCAAGCTGTAATATGTTAATTAGTGAGTTTTAGAGTGGCTGGTGGACAGATTAATTTTTTTAATCTTTTGGACAGAGCCTTGCTAGCTCTTTACCTGTTTCCAGTCTTTATATTAAGCTAAGCTAACAGGCTGCTGGTTGTAGCATATAATTGTCTGCAAAGAAACACATATCCCCAAATATGAAACTCTTCCTGTCAGATTTAGTTTGTTTGCTAATGTTTCCTTCCAGCTGGATGCAGGATCAGTGACTCTAAGTTGAAAAACGTTGTCATAAGCCTGTGTGATAAAAATGTATCTCCCCTCTCTCCTGTTGCCTCTGTGCCGCTCTGCTCTGTTTGGGTCTGTTCTCGACTCTGCTTTATTATGTTGTGATTTGATCTTTGACCTTTAACCCCAATCTTGTGGCGTTTGGCAGGAGTCTGGCCTTGCCTCCTGGATCGGAGGCCACCTCCAACCTTTGGCCGAGGTCCCCCCTGCTGCAGCTGTGATGTTGATCACTGCTTTCCTGGCCTGTTTCACTGAGTTCGCCAGCAACACGGCCACAATTATCATATTTTTACCTGTCATTGCTGAACTGGTGAGACTGGTCTTCAACTTACAGATATGTAGAGAGTTAGACTTTATTTAACTATGTGTTCCTGTTGTGTAACGGGTCGATGAAGTTGACAGTCAGGCAGACAAGCTGTGAGAGTCGAGCTAAAGCAATGGAAACTCATGAACTGGACAGGGAACAGGTTTTGTTGCTGACCTCATCCTTTCTGTTGGCCGAAGGCTTAGTAGACTTGTTAAACTCTTTCAATAGATGTTCTTATGTTTGTAGCCTGTTGGACATTAACTGCTGGTGGCAGTAATTATTAACTGGAGCTTTTGCACTTTGCAATGGTACCTATACTGTAAAGAACACAGTTAAAGTAAAAAATACTACTAAACTAAACTAAACTAAACAAAACAGAGAGAGAAATCTCAGATATAGATATCTCAAATTGCTTACAAATTAAGCCAAAACTATCTGCATGGCTTCACACACCTAGAGGGAAGCGAACGTTTATTAGACTGAAGAAATTGCTGCTGTTTATATCACAAACATATAGCCATGCTAGCAGTGTGTCAGTCAGGTGGCACTTTGTTCCAGACTGAAATATCTCAACAGCCGTTCGATGAATTGACATGAGACTTTGTACAAACATTCATGAGCCCCAGTGGATAGATCCCAATGATTTTGGTCCCTTGACTTTTCATCTAGCACCACCAGTGGTCTGAGGTTTTAAAGAGTGCAACTATAGATAAACCTGCCCAGTATAGTGCTGTGGTGCATAATATCCTGTCCCAAAAATGTTTTGGTCTTTGTCTTTGCCTCTGCAGGCTATTCATATCTCAGTGAACCCTCTGTACTTCATGATACCTGCCACAGTAGGATGTTCATACGCCTTCATGCTGCCAGTGTCCACGCCCCCCAACTCCATCGCCTTTGCATCAGGTCATCTCATGGTCAAAGACATGGTAAGATCATCACAGCAGCATTTTACAACAATATCATACATGAATTGCAGTTTATCACATATCCTCATGTCCTCGCAGGTGAAGACTGGCATTGTAATGAACATCCTGGGTGTCCTCTCTGTCTCTCTGGCCATGAACACATGGGGCGTTGCCATGTTTAACTTGAACATGTATCCAGAATGGGCTCAGTCCATCAACAAGTCTGCTGTTGTTACTGATGTGCACTTCTCATCTGTCCAGTCGCTCAACGCTACTCTCTGAACACTCACCCAGTCTCAGCAGGAGCACAGGAGAAGTATCAGAGGATTGTGTAAAGATTTAATACTAAACAGGGACAAAAGTCTGTCAGTAGACATCTACACTGTGTCACTACAATGTCAAAATGCTCTGGGAGCTTCAGCTATTACCTGTTATGATGCTTTTAATAAGTTTGTTGTATTCAAGTGTCTGTTTAGGCTCTCAACTGTCAAGATTTCATGCTGTGAAATCTTGGCACACACTAAATTGTAAGTAAACAACAACTCAAGCTTTTAAGTATTTTTTTAAAAACATGTTTTGAAACTCCAGTCCGTAGAGTGTGCTGTTTGTATGGATGCAACAAGGCTGACCTCTGCTGAAAGAATGAGAGAGACATCTGTGAATAATTATTTTAAAAATATATAATTTATGTTAAAATCACTAAGAGATCATGCTACTTGTTTATGTATTATCTGGCACGTGTTTCGTGACCAGAGCCACAATGCATAAACAATATTTTAAATCTTTTCTACATTTCTACATCTACCCCGACTAATGAATGTGTAAATTTTGTTACAAAGTGATTTGCATTCTTACAGTATAACTGCTGTTACAAATAAATTGTTTGAGTTTGTATTATGATCATTTAGTTGTATGTGGTGTCTGTATTTGCCTGTGACGAGAAGGTTTATCGCTAAGGGGCTTGTTATCAGAATATCTGCAACAGTTAAATCGTGTTTTAATTTTTAATAGAAAACCAACAACTAAATGAAACCAGGTTTAACGCAAATTTTTAACACATTTTGGCCTCTGAACACACAACAAGAGCCAGGGAGAGTACACAGTGGTAAATTCCTTACAATGTTTATTTGGTGTTGTAAACTGTCTGAAGTCACAAGGCTCAACAACAATAGGTAACTTGTGCAAGTCTTTGTGGTTACTCAGTGTTAGCAGGGTCAGCGCAAAAGGTCCTGTGGTGTCTAGATGTGAAACTATAAATTACCTGACAGAGCAGGACAGGATGTACCCTACTGTCAGCACCACACAAAATACGTGTCTACTAAGTGTAGATTTATAGCTTTGCTTTTTGAGAATCCAAACAGAGATAATAAATACTTTAATCTTCTGTTGTTACTCATAATTAATGTAACTGACATTTTTTTTGTGTTGATCATAACTAATTCTATGTTGAATCCCATCTCTCTCTGGTGACATAAGATTGTGTGTGTGTGTGTGTGTGTGTGTGTGTGTGTGTGTGTGTGTGTGTGTGTGTGTGTGTGTGTGTGTGTCTGTCTTGTGACGTTCTAATAACGTTCTCCTGCCCTCTATGAGTGAAGGTGAATATTTTCACACAAGTATACACTGTCAAATTATACATTGCCCATCAGTGAAAGATTAACAAAGAATCATCAGTGAAAGATTAACATTGAGTCCCTATAGGATATACAACAGATTCATTAATCTGGCGAACATCCACAGAATCCACAGGATTAAAAGTAATAATAAGAAACAAATGTAACTTAAGAGAAGAAGACAACTAGAATAGTGGCTAGCTTGTTAAGGTGTGAGCTAATCACAGGAAAAAAACAAGTTCTACTAAATAACAAATCAGCAAAATGACAAAAGGAGAACCTACAGATAATACTCAAACCGAGCTGCTTCATTCTATCAAAACTGAATTTTAAGTTTGGAGTGTAGATGTTTCTTGATGAAATGTACCTTCGGGGTTGTAGTTCACAAATAATAATTCATTTATACATTTTTTCAACTAAAAGCAGCTAGCTTGTTCTGCTCCAGTGCACCTGCTTTACACTGATAGAGAGGAAGATGATGGACAGATGAGCTTCTGACAAAATGTTGCTATTGCCATTCAGAAACAGTTATTATTAAGTAGTAAACAAATATATTAACATTTTTATTTTAATTTGTCCCGTGATCTAGAGAATATTTAAAAATAGCTATGGATTGGTGTTTATTCATTTCTTTCATGTGACTTTCAAGCCCTGTGATTGGTGGGCCTGAGTTCCAAGTGGGCAGGACCATCCGCATATGATTTGAAAATGTGAAACAGTCATCAGTTTTATAGTCTATTTGACAGACTAGAGGAAAGAGTAAACAGGAAACGGCTCAGCAATGAGTCTGAATGCAGCCAAACTTTCCCCCTCCAGCAGATCAGTGTTAAAAGGCTCAAGTGTCAAGCTACACACTTTTGTAGAGGGACTTTATACGAAGTATGTGTGATCACACTGGTCTGGTATGTCACCCTAAAACTGTACTGTGGTTAGTGTGCCCTTTGTCACATTGTGTGTGTGAGTGTGTCATGCCTCTCCATATGATTCTGTCTCATGTATGGTTTACATAGAGAAGAGTTTTCTTCTCGTTTCCTACGTGGGAACTTGCAGGCAGCCCACAACCATCAACATGACCATGACTGTTCAGAGAAGTTCCCCTTTTTACCTTCATAGTCCTCCATCACTTCCCAGTCCTGCTTTTCCTAAATCTAACATCAGAGGATGTTTATCACCGAGACATTTATTACTCCTCTCAGGTAAGATTTTTTATGTTCTATTGTTTTATGTTATGTTTTATGTTTATATTATTTTATTAATTCAGCCTTAATATTCTAATAACTTCCCATCTATTTATCTGTCTGTCTGTCTATAAGAGCCAGACGCACTGATTTCCAGGAGACTTGTCATCACAGTCATTACAGAAATAAACTGTTTATTGTCAATAAATAGTTTATGCACATAACTCTCCCTAAAGCCTCAAATTTTCTTTTTTTCTATTTATGTTTGTGTGTGGATTAAACAATTTAGATATAATGTGTTGATTAGCGAGCTGTAGAGGTGCTAGTGAGTGCATTTTTGAGCTGTGAGAGCTTCTTACAGTAAAAGTGGCTATAATCAGTATTTTATTCCAACAATGTATCAAATAACAATGCAACAATGATAACAATGCGAGTGATGAACCAGCAGAGAATTATCACCTGAATCTGCAGCTCTCCTTTTTTATTTAAAGAGATTTATATTAAGTTTCAGTTCTTTGTTTACCTGTCTTGCAGCAGTTTTACTGTTTTGGTTCACTCTCACCACTCTCAAAAACCCACTGTACTCTGTACCTGCTCAGCAGACAGATACAGTAACTGGTGAACATAGTGGAGCATTTAGCAGCTAAGGAGACAGATATTTCCCTCTGAAGTTGAAAGACACCAAAAAAAGCTACAACTAAGTTAATATTGGACTTATATTCATCTGGAGGCCTGTAGCTTCAAATGAATGATAATCTCACTCTGTAATTGCTGGATGTGAAATAATAAGTTCACCATTAATTTAAATGGTGATATGTCGATGGTCAAAATTTGTTCCTGCTGCCTCCCAAAAGTCCACAATGCTATGCTTATTAGCTTTCTTGCTGAGGGTTAGATGAGAAGATCAGTCAGAAGATCTCATACCTGTTGGTTGAATATGAAGCTGGAACCAGGACACAGTTATCTTAGCATAGCATAAAGACAGGAAACATGGAGAACCAGCTAGTGACTCTGTCCAACGGTAAGAAATCCCTCTACCTGCACCTTTAAAGCTCAATAATTACCATGTTATATCTCGTTTTGTTTAATCCGCACAAAAAGCAAAGTGTTATGTGGTGTCACTTTGTTACAGCTGTCCTTTATGCTAAGCTAAGCTAACATGCTGCAAGTGGTATCTTCTGATTTAGCATCCTGAAATGGGAGTGGTATCAATCATCTCATCTGTAATGATCTCATCTGTAAGGAAAATAAGCGTATTTCTCAAAGTGTTTCCTTGACGTTGTTAAAGTTGTATTTTTTTTTTTCCATCCTCAGGAGCAGAGCCAGCTTTTACAGACAGGCTTCAATATCTTTCCTGCTTTATCTCTGGGATGTTTACTCTGCACCTTCACCTGCTGGAAGACACATCCTGACTCTGCTGTCCCTCTGTTTCACACTCGCCATCATCACCGGTGGCCTGCTTCATCACTGGCTGTCCAAGACTCTGAGATATGACCATGAAGCCTCTGCTCAGACCACCTGCATCTACTCTGTGGCCATGTTTCTGGTCTCATCCCTGTGTCACCCTCTGCGCTGCGTGCTGACTATGATTCTGCCCACTGTCTGTACCAAACAGGGGCGCAAACTCCTCATCTCAGCCTCTGTCATGATTTTAGTGGTGAACGTCATCCCTAATATTACGGTGAATGTAGGGGCGGTGGCACACATCCTGAAGTGCACCGCTGAGGGTTTCACAAAGACTTTATTAAATTCATCTGAACCTTTGAACAAAGTGAAGCGAGACCTTGTTGAAGAAACCATCAAAATGAATAGGGAAGACTTGAGCTTTGTGACTAATTTAAGGAAGTTAGATCATTTCACAAATGTTAATGTGTCAGAAGTCAAACGCCGGTTTAATGAAATGATTGGGCAGATGGAGGTCAACTTCTCACACACCAGGAACCTGCTGAAAGAGTGTAAACTGCTGGCGAACCGAATCCTTGCTGCTGTTTTTGTTGCTTTGCTAATCTTTGAATGCGCACGCTACTTGAAATCTTATCTGACATCAGTTCAGTTTGATAATGGCTACACCTCCAGAAATCTCCTGAAAAAAGCAACTGCCACTGGTAACAAAAGACCAGCTAAAATAAAAATAAATTCCGCAAGCTGTGAAGTAACAAATCAGGAGTGTACCTCTTGCTTCATGTCATTGGTTGTGGTGACGTTATATTTCATTGCAATAACTGCAATAGTAGCTTTGGATCACGTTGTACATCACATAGTTGAGGTGATTGTGCCCTGGTTACTGGATTTTCCACCTACATCTGCCGGCATAAGTGTCAATTATAAGGTAAGACAGTACACAGACCGTTTCTCCATGACTGCTCCTTTTATTGTACATGCAGCATTTTTTTCATCGCTTTTAGGCTTTTCGTGTATTTGCTTTTGTCTTTTAGCTCCAGTTCTTCTCCCCTGCATCCTGTATTATCCCACAATTCTGCGTCACACAGGAGCTAACCAACTTCCACAGGGATTACAAGTGGACATTCAGCCCAGAGCCCTCGCTCTGTGATGTGACAACTTCAGCTCCAGACCTGAGAGTCACACTCCTGCTGGGATGTCTCTGGCTGATGAGCTACTCTCTGGTGTTCCTCGAGGTCTACGCCAGACGGCTGCGCAGGAAAATCTCTGCATCCTTTTTCAGAGAGCAGGAGGAGAGGAGGATGGCCTACTTGATGAAGAAAATACAAGAGAAACAGAATAAAAAAGAGCAAAAAGAGCCTGTTTCTGTTCAGGTTGCCTGTGGTTGAAGTTGTTTTGATATTTTTGGCCTTGCCTGCTGCATGGAAATATCAGTCATTCCACCACTTTGGTCCAGATGGAAATATCTCCAAGAAATTCTCTAGAGGCATATTTTGGTCCCCAGAGGATGAAGCTTTTCCTCAGACGCCACCATGAGTTTAACATTTAGGGTTTTAGTGAAATGTCTCCACAGCCATTGAATGGATTGTCATGGGATCTGTCACAGATATTGTGCCAAAACAATGAATCCTCATAACTTTAAAGGTCCCCTGACTTGTCATGTAGCATCACCGGCAGGTCAAAGTTTTATGAAATCTCAAAAGTTACTTGATGAATTGGCACAAAATGAAGTAGAGAAATTCATGTATCTAATGATTTTGGTGATTTCCTTACTTTTCCTCTAGTGTCGAGATTGAAATGTCTCAACAAACAATGGATAACTTTGTTAGCTTAACTTTTAATCCAATCATCAGGCCAAAATTTAATTATTCAGTACTTTAGCTGCCAATTCCTGCAACACATATAACTTTGTGTTTAGTGCTAATTAGCAAATGTTAGCGTGCTAACACACAAAACTAAGATGCTCAAGATTGTGAGCATGCAGCATTTAGTTCAAAGCACTGTTAAATTCTGCCTCACAGAGCTGTCAGTGTGGCTGTCGACTCCAAGCCTTGTCTACAGTACAGTTCTTCTTAGGTCGTATATCATTCTGTTCTAGCAAAAACATAAACTGAAGAAAGGGCTTCCTGTGTATGAGTCACTGCCAACACCTTTTCTTTTGCAAGCGTGTCACCCCTCTACAGGCTCCTCTCAGGCGCCCACACTTAAACCTGATGTGGTTTTTATAGATGGTGCACAACATCTGCTGATTTTACATCCACTCTTTATTTTTTTGACCTACACATGCCTGGTAACAGCTTCTTTGTTTTCTTTTCAGAGGAAAGAAAACTGTACATTGTATTTTTCTGTGCTGTGTGTGCAGTGTTGTTTTTTCTCTTGTGTGATTGTGGCTATTTCTTGTGGGGGTTTTTTTGTTTGTTTTTTTTACTCCTCAGTCCCACTAGATGCCACTATGGTGCTTTGGACAAATGAGGACAGCACATAATATAGTACCTCCAGTCTGTAAATGAGCACTGATAGATTAGATCTAGGCAATTTTTTTAAAATATTGTATTGGCCTAGATAACCATAATAAATTAAATGAATCTGTTTCATGCACACATAAAATAATTCACCAGCCTATTTTAGTGCGGCCTTATAAAAAAAGAATCACTTCCTTTCTCTGAAAAACTCCTTTGCATATCAGTACGCTCCTGCTTAAAATTCCCATGAGGCTTCAGGAGTTTATTTGAAGACCTCATCTTAGAATAATAATAGAAAACCTCTTTATCATCTATTTTTACTCCTGACTTCTTAGCCACTTCATGATTGTCTCAAAATTCAGCAGCAGTCTGTGTAAAGATGATGGTCCAGAAATTATAAATAATTCATATATTTTCCTGTTACTATGAATTCCCACATCAGTGTGTTGCTTACTAAGAGTGTGTGACAGCTCTGGTCTTAAGCTCATTGGAAATGCACTTAACTGAAAGGTGGATTATTGCTAAAAATGTAAATAAAAAATTAACCCCTAACGCCCAAGTTTCCCCCTTCTGTCTCTCCTTTAGTAGCTTTAAAGTCACACAAATCAACATATGCTATATCCTCCTGAATATATTCTGTATCAGCTTGTTCCAGCTCTTCATTGAAGCTATATGATGTAAAACATTAAAAGTGACAAATGAAAATATCCTAGATGTCTTTCATTTTACATATTCCTCAAAGTTCAGCCTGAAAGGTTTGACACATTTAGAAACTTATTACATATTTTTGATGCACAGCATGAGTCTCCATTTATCTTCAGACCAGTGGACTGTTAGGAAAAAAAATAAGATATAAATATTGATAAAGATGTGAATGAAGAGACAATAGTTGTTAGACACAATATATGACAGACATCTTAGTATGCAGCAGTTAAGGCGGACAATTACCTGGAGCTGTTCTGCAGGATTTTTTTTTTCCTCCTGTGAAGCTGTTATCTGTTCATTAGAGACAGTCTGGTGGACCGCCTGAAAACTATTCTTCTACGAAAATGCAAGTATCTCTCATGTATTGGCATTCATACTGACAGTGTTGTCTACAGATTGAGGGTCAAAGAGCGGTCCAAGCACGAAGTGGTTTGTTGGAATCTGTTTTGATAGCTTTGAGAAACAGATTAGTTTTTTTGTTTTTTTGTTTTTTGAACGATGGGTTTTAATCTTAATCTAATGTCTTCAGATATTGGGTGCACCCGGCTGTAGCAGCATCAGCATCTAGCACACAGTCAGACAGACTGCCGGGAGCTGTGAAAGCTTTCCCAAATGTCACAGGAATAGCAAGAATCTTAATCTTCTGATGTGTGTTCCTGTTTGTCCCTCAGGAGTTAAGAAATTTATTTCTAATTCTCATCTCCTGAACGAACGCTAACCCAGCGAATCTGAGGATGTCAATTTGTCCTTTCATATAAGATGAAGTGTTAACTAAATTATGTCTGCAAGTGACAATTAGTGCCATTTCAGTTCAATGGCGAGTCACTGCAGTGGATGATGTGTTGAATTGCAGGCTACCTCCTCCGTTCTTTCAATAATTACAGGGTTTATGGTCACATCCATGGACACAGTGGTTGACATGACATCCTGAGCTTGGATGGGGAGGAGGTGGAATTGATTTTCAAGTTGGTGGCTGAACAAAAGCAGTGTGTATCAGTGTGGATAAAGTGGTGTGTGATGTGAGAGGGAGGTAGGGAGGGGTGCACTGGGAAAATAAAGAGGGAGAGAGAGACATATGTGGACGACCAGAGCGGCTCTGGAGGAGGACTAAGCAGTCATCTGTGTTTCTTGGTTGACTGCACCTGAGTGCTGCAACCATGTCAGAGTGAGCTCTGCCTCTTGGAAAAGGATGGTAAGCTGCAAATTTTCCTCTCTTGAAAATGTTAATTTATTCTCCCATGATTTTATTTTCTCAACTTCATTCAACTGTGAATGTTTTATTTCTGCTTTATTTCAGAAAAGAGGGGGGTAATATTAGAGGGTAGTCTGACTTCTCTGGGAGAGAAGGTGAGGGTCTTTAGACTTTTACTACCCTAGCAATATTAGTTTAAAAAAACAGATAGTTACAAATCATGGCTATATTATGATAATGATTATATGCTGAGGACAATACATCTTAATTATTCCTGCCAAAGTCAACTATAAAAAATGCAGAATACACGTCTTTATGGATTTTTGTGATTGTATTTGTGAAATGTTATCTCTATTGGTAGTTATTTTCCCTTCGCTTTAGTTTGCATCAAATCAAAAAGTTTAATAAAAACAGTTAAATATGTCATATAATGTTGGCCTTTTATTTAGCATTTTTTTATCCGATAATAGAGAGTAGCTGGTATATTCATAATTTTGTTATGTTTGCCATAAATTTTGAAATTGATAATTCTAATTCCCTCAAAAGCATGAGGTTGGTGTGAAAATCTCAGTCACTGATATATTAAACCTGCAATAAACCTGCATTTTTTGGCCACTTGGGGGCAGTGGAAACATATCATCACTTTTTACATTGATATGGTGAACTTGTTAGCAAACAGTTGCTTATTTACACATCCTGCAAATACAGAGTGAGACTATCATTGATTTGGATTCATGTTTCTGGCCACCTGATGAATCGGAGTCCAATATTCACTCTTGTCTGTTTCTGGTTTTGGATTCCATTGACTCATGAGGGAAATATCTGGCTCTGTAGCACCTAAATGCTCCATGATGAACACCAGATGCTTTGCTGTTTGGCGGGTTTTTAGGGCTTTTTACTGAGAAAACGACCGCCTAGTTCTCAATCAATCAATCCATCAATGACCAAACACAACACAATGAGAGCAGTGGGAGTTAATCAAAATAGTGACATTGTGGCCAGACAGCTAAACGAGTTGACACTCAGTATAAAGCTGCAGATTCAGGTGATAATTCTCTGTAGGTTCATCACTACGAGTGACCCCTTTTCATATTGTCATAGGTTTTTGTCATTTGATACATTATTATGAAAATATTTATTACTGTTGCTTTAAGGTTTATATTAGATTATACCATCTCAGATTCTATACTAAATCAGTACTGTATTTTGAGATGTTGCAGTTAATTTTGTAAGTCAAAGGCTGAGTCCAAAGAAAATATTATTAAGCCTGGACCAGGCCTTGTTTTCTAACAAAGAAAAATTAAAAATTCAACCTCCCTCCACACCCCAGTAATTTTCAGACAATCCCCATCTATTCTCTATTTACATTTCTGCCTTTAGGATTCTTGTTTCATGCCCTGGTGATCGACTGAAGTTTGGCCACAGGACTTGAACACAATGGAGAACAGCACGACCATCTCCCAGGACGTCACCCAGGTTTTAAATCTGACAGTAATGCCTCTGAACCCTCTCGAAGAGCAGGTCATAACAATATTTTTGACGATTCTCATCTGTGGAGTTGGGATTGCTGGCAATATCATGGTGGTGCTGGTTGTGCTGCGCACTAAACACATGGTGACCCCGACCAACTGTTACCTTGTCAGTCTGGCTATTGCAGACCTCATTGTGCTCCTGGCTGCAGGGTTGCCAAATATCTCTGATGTTGTAGCCTTCTGGATATACGGCTACACAGGGTGCTTGTGTATAACTTACCTTCAGTACCTGGGCATCAACGTGTCATCCTGCTCTATCACAGCATTCACCATTGAACGATACATCGCTATTTGTCACTCCATAAAGGCACAGTTCATATGCACCGTTTCCCGGGCCAAGAGGATCATAGCTGGAGTCTGGGTCTTCACCTCACTCTACTGCATTATGTGGTTCTTCTTAGTGGACATACATGAAACTGTCTATGCTAATGGAGTGGTGGTCACTTGTGGCTATCGTGTATCCAGGAGCCTCTACATGCCAATCTATTTCCTGGACTTCACTCTCTTTTATGTGATCCCCCTCATTGTGGCCACTGTGCTTTACGGACTCATCGCAAGGATTTTGTTCATGAGCCCCCTGCCGTCGCATCTCAACGACAGAGCCGGAGGAGGGTCTGTTCACCAGGGTCACTCCAACAACACCAAGGCCAACAAGGGCGCAGTCTCTGCAAGGAAGCAGGTACTGGAAAATTCCACCTTTATGAGAAATGTTGAGATCTTAATAATTTGTGATTAAGAAATCTCAATTTTAGCTAAACTTTTTTATAATGCTAGTAGAGTGGCTGTATGAGTGTCAGTGTCAGCTGGTCGGTCCACCACTTTTGGTAGATTTAGTACAGACATTCATGGTCCCCAGAGGATGAATCCTACTGACGTTTCCTCCAGCGCCACCATATGGTTGACATTTGTGATTTTGAGTAAATGTCTCAACAACAACTGATGGAATGTAATAACTTTAGTGAGTTTTCATCCATCACCATCAGATCTAAAGTTTAATTTGTCAAAAAATTGTGGTTTGTGACCAAAACCCTGCAAAACTAATGAAATTCCCATCAGCCTCAGGTGTACTTCGTGTTTAGTGCTAATTAGCTAATGTAAGCATGCTAACACACTAAACTTTAATCTCCATATTTAAAACGATAATCGTGGGGTTCTTGGCTTTTCGCCTTGCCTTCAAGTGTGGTTGATCGAAACTATGAACACTTTAGCTTTCTGATGTGGTCAGACAACCTGTCGTACAAACTAGTTATTTTAGCATAACCTGAACTTTATCAGTCATTCTGAGCATGTTAGCATGCTGACGTTAGCGTTTAACTAACGACTAACGAAGTGCAGCCTCACAGAGGTGCTAGCTGGGCTCTAGATTCTTGTTAAACATCTACAACACTGAGATTGAGTCATACAGTTGTGCCTGATAATTGTACTCTTCCTCATTATTGTCACATGATAACATCACTCTCCCGTCCTTTGTATCCTTGCTCCTCTACCTCCTTCTCTGTATCAACAGATAACAAAGATGCTGGCCGTGGTGGTCATCCTCTTCGCCTTGCTCTGGATGCCTTACCGAACACTGGTGGTGGTCAACTCCCTCGTCGACCCGCCTTACAACAACACCTGGTTCCTGCTCTTCTGCCGGATGTGCATCTACACCAACAGTGCCATCAACCCCATCATTTACAACCTCATGTCTCAGAAGTTTCGTGTCGCGTTCAAAAAGCTCTGCAAGTGCAACTGGCAACAAAAGGAGAAGGCAGCCGAGTACAACATGCCGATGTATTACGGCATGATCAAGGATTCATCCCACGAGAGCAACGAGCCGATGACGGAGCAGGAGGACGTGAGTGGCCAAACCATCAAGAGGTTCAATGTAACGGATGATGACACGAGCACTTTCAGCATCTCTTAATAAAGGCTTTGATGAGTGTGTTGGGTTCATTAAGACAGACTGTGTGTATGATAAATTATTTAAGGATATCTTTCATTTTAATATTTAACATTATTATTATGTTATCATAGTTGTTTCCATCTGTTAGAAAAAGTATTTACTGACACGAATCTGTAGATATTCTCTGTGTTTGCTTTGACACAGGTTTGTGTTTGTGGTGTCGTTGTTGTGGTGCTTTTGCATCAGTATCGTAACTGTGAAATATTGTACCCCACATTTTAGTGCACATAAATAAGACATGAAGGGAAAGATGGGTATTTTATGTGATACATGTGTTACTGATGCTGTGGGTACATATTTTGAATTTTTCTTTGAAACAATATTCAGACTTTATGTGAACTCGTTTTGTCAAGAGAAAGCACAAGTTCTGTTTAACAAGGATTCAATTTATTGCTCACTTAAGAGAACACTATTGAGGTGATATTTCATCGCAGACCTGTGTGGGCTTGTATAGACTGAGTTTAATTGACAGCTCCCTTACTCTCCTGTTACATCTGTTGCACCTGTTAGCTTAGGACCATTTACACAATTATCATTATTACTTCACAGAGTTTGTTGACATCGTGTAATTCCCAGAATTGCTCCGTCTAATTTCAGCATGTGTAGAGGTCTAATTAGCCAGAGAAAACTGATTGAAAACACCTGTGTGAGCGTGCAGGACTTTTAATATTAAGTGTTTTTAGGCTCAGTTTGTAGCAAGAATGTTTTTATGCCTCAGCAAGAGCCGGAGGCATTATGTCTTCGGGATGTCCATCCGTCCATCCCTCCATCCCTCCATCTGTCCCATTCTTGTGAATGTGATATCTCAGTAACGTCTTGAAGGAATTTCTTCAAAGTTGGTACAAACATTCACTCAAGGATGAAGTGATTAGATTTTGTTGGTCAAAGGTCAAGGTCTCTGTGACCTCATAATACACGATTTTGGTATTTTGAACATAATATGTCAAGAACTCCTCAAAGGTCAAGACTTCACACAGCAAGTATTAGATAATTTCACACAAATGGTTAATATTTTATGTGATTCTGGATAAACAGGGATGTAATCTGAAAGTAGTCTCAGTGAGGAAGTCCGCAATCGCAAGGTGTTATTTCTAGTTTTTCATATACCAACTGCCTCATCTTTTACTTCTACGATTTGTCACTGGATTTACTTGAAAATGAAAAAAACAAAACAAAAACAGTAACCCAGCCCGTCCACTGAAATGACTCCAGAGTGACTCTGCATGCAGGAAAAGTTTGTATCTTTGGATCATAGACATCCAGTCTGACAAGCTGGTAGGCAGGAACTAATGATCATGGAAGCTCTGATAGCAAACAAATCAGTTCCAATTCAAAACATCATCCGAGTCAGAGAAGGAATATAAAGTTGTCATTACAGCCACTGGAGATGTGCAACAAATCTGACAGCAAAAACATTTTAGAAAAATGCTAATTGTTGTCGCCAAGTTTGCAGTCTCTCTCATCTCACTGCTGTCGTCTTGTGTTGTCAGCCACACTACAGCATCTCTCAACATATGGAGCTCTCGATTTGTCATATCACAGTGAATTGGTATTGAATATCTAGAGCCAGTGTAAGACACATGTGTAAATCCCTTTCATGTTTGAGCCAGAAGTTGATCCTGTGCAAATACATTTTGTAAACAGGCTTTGCAGCTTCCTGTGGACTGTGGGATTAATAAATCCCTTTACAACCCTAAGCATGTATAGATTTTCTTTATTTATGAGAGTTTTGTGTGTCAAATTAAAATAAATCTTCAGAGCTACTCATCCAGTACTTTCTTTAGAAAATTGTGATTAATATTGATTTATATAAACTGAAGTGAAACTGTAGAGACACAGTAAAATATTTGCATACATTATATAAATTCCCTATTCAAACATCAGGTTTCAAAAGAGCATAACAGACGGAACTTTTCAAGGTCAAATTTATTATTCTCTTTTGTTTAGATTTGCATTAATTAGCTTATATCTCGCCATGTTTGATTGAGCAAATGAGCACACCTTTGTTTGCTTTTTTCCAGTTCCCTGTTGCAGCTCTAAACTATAAAAACATAATCAAAACTACATTTAAGCATATCAGTAACATAAATAACAGTTGGAATAACAATAATTAGCAAAACATATGTTTTCTATGGCAGAAGCCATATTCTCAGTCACGTTGAAAATATCTCACAAAGCAATGAAGTCCCTCTGGACATTGTGCAGGCTGTATAGTGCTGATAAATTCCTTATAAGCAGCTTTTATGATGAAAGAGATGTCACAAGGGTCTGAGGGAAAGAATCAATGAAAGCAGAAATACACTCACAGCAAAACCTACAGCAAAGAGGTTTCTAATGGCTCTCTTGCACCCACAGTGCCATTTCAATTTTCTTTTCATCTCTAACATGTAACATGGATTAATGATACATGGTTTTGTTTTGTTGAATGTCAGACAGAAGAATGTTTTTTTCTTGTGTTTATTCTTTGCAGGTTTCTCTGGCATTCCTACTTTTTTTTTTTTTACAAAATTCAATATTATATTCAATATCATATATATATTCAAATTTAGAAGAGACCTAAAGTCAATCATCCAGAGAAACACTTAAGATATGATTCAGAGTTATAACTACTTTTAAAGCAACAACTCTTACAAATATTGGCCAGTGGGCCTATTTGGTTTTGTTGTCTGGCAGCATGATCGACGGGATGATGGTAGGTCTGAACAGGGACTTGCAAAAAAAAAAAAAAAACAAGAAGGTGATGTCTGAAAATATCTCCAGTCCAATTAAAAATAGAAAAAAGAGTGATAATCAGGGACCTTTTATGATAATTTTCCTTCAGTTGTTTCTCCCCAGTGACTTCGCTGAAAAGCTTTGTCAATACAAACTATTTAAGTAAGGTTTAATATCTCTCAAGAGCTGTGTTTTGTATGACTAGGTGTTTTTCTTTGTCCCTCTCCTTATGGCTCATACAATAAAAATTATGCCCACTCACTTTTACTAAACAAGTTTACAACATAACTTACAGGGGGAAAAACTATACACTGAAACCAAAACAGTTCAAACTTTTTCACACCAATTTTATATAATGAATTGTACATCATTTGAAATGTAAATGTAACTGAGAAAAAAGTTTCTTTAACAGACAATATAGAGTTCAAAGTATTCCAAAAAGGACAGTAAAAAAAGAATGAAGATGAAATAAATCTTCCATATGTCTGCATAGTGTTCAAAACACTGCCATTGCCACAATTAAGTGTCCTGGAGGAATAGTTTGACATTTCGGAAATACGCTTATTCGCTTTTTTGACAAGAGTTATCCATCTATCTATCTGTACCTCTCTCATGTCTGTACAGTAAATATGAAGCTACAGCCAGAAGCTGGTTAGCTTAGCTTATAGCATAAGAAATTGAAACGGGGGGAAACAAAATCCTACTACCAGGAGCTCTGAAGTTCACTTAGTGTTTTTATTCTTTGGTGTTTAACAAACAATATATACTGTATCATGATAATCAGTGAGACTCAGGGTTGTTACAGGTGCATTGTTATCTAGCTGTTTCCCCATTTGCAGTCTTTATGCTAAGCAAAGCTAACTCCCTGCTATAGTCTTACTACTGGCATCAATCTTCTAAAGCAAGTAAGTGTATTTCCCAAAAAACTCAGACACAGACAAGCGATGTCTTAACCATGAAATTGAAATGTGAGAAACTGTTCTATTTAAACTCTTCTCTATGTTACCAGTGCAATTCTTTTTTTAAATAGCAGCAAACATTATGTACTGTATATTGCTCATTTTGTCTGTGTTCATAGTGTACACATTTTAGACATTGTAAAGCTCAGAGTGAAACCTCACCAATAACTCACAATACATTTGACACTAGAACCTCACCAGTGGGTAAACTCAAGGATTTATTGGCTAAAGAGATGCAGCTGCTGCACAGATGTGTAGGCATGAGGCCGACAGCTATGTTTGAGAGTTGAAAAGGTTAGAGCTTCTATTTACTGAGCTCCTTCTTGGACAAAGACTGTTTAAAAACAAAATACTTCACTATATAAAAATGTGTACTACAATGATAGAATGAAACCGTGTAAAAGCATAATTAAAGCAAAAAATAGCTATGTACATTTATTCAAGTACTGTACTGTACAATTGTGAGGAAATATAAATATTGTACTTTTTATTCCACTTTTATTCCATTTTTTAACAGCTAATGTTACTAGTTATGTTGTAGATCTATTTTACATGCAAGAAATATGATCACTTATAAAATATGATGCATTCTTATGATTTTTAACAGTAATGCAATATAATAATAAACCAATTATACAACATTGACTGAGGCCATTCTAGTACTTTTAATATTTTAGGTACATTTTTCTGAAAATACTTTTGTACTAAAAATTACAAATGGATGACTTTCACTTGTATTTTTATAGTAGGCTACTCACTACTTCTTCCACCAGTGAAAAATAATGGAAAGGTTGAGTTTTAAGTCAAAGTTTTAGCAGTTACAACAGTATCAGTGAGAATAAAATGTTCAGCAGCTTTTTTATGTGATGATATTTACGTTAACTTTCATCTTTGGATCTCTGATAACTTACAGCCCCAATTTTATGGCTAATGTGGCATAATCAAAGACAAAATGGCCTAAGATCATTGAGATACCGCCATCTGAGAATTTAACTTAATGCTCTTGAATGTGTATCACAAATGAATCTCAAAAAGCCTCTACAGCACATAGAGCTTTATTTAAAAATCATGAATAAATCATAGGATGAGTAACAGCTAGAAAGATAAGTGGCAGCTAGTATAACATATTTTAATACCTTTTGATGATAGACAAAATTAAGAGCTGTTCTTTTGTGAGAATGAATAATTTATCCACTGCATCTGTCAAGAGCTCTTGTCTCCCTAGTATCATCACATACAGTATAATCAAAGGGCAGCCGGAGTGTTTTGTGTTGTTTAGGGAAGCCTGTA